GCAGGAAACCATTTCCATCGGACCCAGGACGAGGCTTAGTCTCACCAAGCAACTCGGACAGGTCCAGCTGGAGAGCTGGCAAGCGATTCGCGTCCAAGAAGTCAGAGCCGTATTGGCTGCTGCGAGTGGAGCGATTGGAGAAGGAACGATCTCGGTGGTTGATGCTGACGTCTGGCCCGAAGTATGAGCCTGCGTTCCCGATAGGAGAGGTTGGAAACTGTGGGAGGAAGGGAAGGTCTTGCGATGGACTAGTTGGATTTGACGGCATTTCGTAGACTGGAGAAGACGAAATCTGCAGGGGACTAGACCTCGCAGGAAAGCTGAGACCGCCTAACAGAGAGCGAACGCTAGGTGCAGTGGTGGTAGATGCGTTGAATGACGGACCACTAGTCTCGGGCATAGGATTGGTTCCTGGCAAGTTGCCTTCGGGGGTGAGAGGACCCGACTCGAGGAGCATCTGCTGCTGTTGTTGCTGAATGGACTGCTCAATTGCAGTTGCCTGCTGCCATAGTTGACTCGTGCGCAGTTGGAAATCCTGCACAGATTGGCTGATGCTCGCAAATTGCTCATGGAAATTGGTCTCCATCTTTGACTGGTCCTGCTCCCTGGCAAATTGTTCAGCAGCACGGCGTTCTCTCTCGTTCAACCCTTGGGCGTTGGCCGAGATAATACGCTCATACTGCTCGTTCACCCGAGTGCGGCGACCCTGAAGACGCTCTCGCTTCTGGACAGCCTGAGTCAATTCCAACTCCAGTGCCGCTACCTGCTGAGCTGCAGCAGCCCGAGCAGCAGTAACCTCTTCCTTCGTCAAATTAAAAGCCTCCACCTCACGTTCGAAATCCGCTTTGTGCGCCGACCATTCTTCCATCTCCTCTTCGGGGACATTTTCCATGGTGTCGAGTTGTACCTCTAGCGCCGCAGTAGCCTCTTCGGTTTGCCGGATGTTTCGTTCTAGTTGAAGTGAACGCTGCTTTTGGCGATTCTCGTCATTTCCGCTGTGGAGGCGAGCATTGAAGTTCTCGAGTTCTTTCCGGATTTTCGAGATAACGGTTTTGTGGTCGTTCTTCGTCTTTTTCAAACGGTTGCGCTTTTCATTCAACTTGGATTCCGCATTGCTGATAGAGTTCTTGAGCGTCGTTGTTGGGGATGATGGACGGTAGGTCGGCTGTGGGGGTGTCGATACCGTGGAAATGACTGTTCAAGCAATGAGATGATTGAAAAAAGAGATGTTGAGATTTAACGTTAACTTACCTTGCTCTGTGTCAGTCGTTGTAGGGGTCTTGACACTCATGACACAGATTTCCTCGTCGGTATCGCTTCGTACAAATGCGCATGTGTAGGCGCAGTTGGGAGCAAGTCCAGCAATCTCGCCCCGCCATTGGACAACACTCGGACCCTTGGCGTCTGAAACCCTGCATATCGAAGCGGTAGCCCAGAGCGCACCATTGACACAGACGTAGAACGGTTCCATGTCTCCCCCCAAACGGCCGGCTTCAAAGGAACCCGACACAGCGGGGTCATCGGTGAATTCACCCGCAGCGAATTTGATCGAAGAGCTATCCACATCCGTAATCCATATTAACCCGTCGTCGAGAGAAACACCTTGCAGATCCTCCTCCGTCATTGTGAGATTGCGGGCTGTCTTAGAAACAGCCCGCGAATGTTCATATTCCCTCATCACCGTGACCTTTGTACTGGCAAGTGCAGCCCAGAATGGCTGTCGGCTCCGAACTTGATTGGCTTGTCGTCTGCGTTTCTTGGCTGAGGTAAAACGATCCTTTCCGTCTTTCAACTGACCGTCAGGTCCCACGAAAGAAGAAGAAACACTGGCAGCTGATTCCAGAGCAGAATCGGCTTGTCCTTGTGACCCCGCAGAAGCCTCCGTATCCCCCCGCTTGCCGGTCCGTAATGGTGTTGGTGACCGATTCTTGGCCATCGAACGTCGTGCCATGGCGGTTCCAGCTTGTGCTAAGATATGCACCGCGAGAAGGCTGCGGAGCCAGCTGGGAGAGGTCTGTTCTTCAGAGCGTCGGAACTCGGCGGGTAGCAGGTGCGAGTATTGGGAGAGGAGATCGGGACTGAGCAGTTTAGCAGAGACAAGATGACCCAAGACAAAATCCTGGATGCCTTTACTGCGAACAAGATGAAGAAGTAGAACAATTCCGACACAGAGAGCATTGACCCCGCCGTTCTTTCCGGAACCCCCGCCACCCAGGGTGATAGCAACCTGGACATGAGCGAGATCGATGGCAAAGTTTTGCGCCCAGGTCCACATGAAGAGGCCCCAGAGAAGTATGCAAAACCCATCCATCGCAATCATTGTCCCCAGAGATGGCGTCCCAGCCGGACCTTGAAAAATATCGAAGTTCGACGACAAAGAACCGGCCGCGGCGCCGCTCGGGGGCATGAAAGTCAAAGAGGCGAACAAGAACTGAACCAGAGTCAAGACCATCGGTGGAAGCTGGAGCAAAAAAATCAAGATGGCGATAGTGTCGTACATGGGGCACGATTTGAGGATAGTGGATGCGAGTTGGAGCGGATTGATCGAGGCATTGGATCCGGATCGTTTCGAGTTTCCATTGCGAGAGACATGACCTGCCATGCCACCATTCTGGGCGACATCGCCGTTTTCCTGCGCGGATGCCATTTCTCCACCCTTGCTATGTCCATTCAACATCCCACGCACATTGCCATCTGCCTTTGTACTATCCCCTCCTTTGCCGGAAACTGTCGGGGATGTCACGGCGGTATCGCTAGTAGACCGCGCGGAGGATAGATCGAATTGAGCGGACGCGCCCGGACCGGTAGCAGAGCCGTTTCCCGAGTTGCCGTTCAGATGGCCGCTTGACTTTTGCTTGGTTACTTTCTTGCCGGGACCGACAAGGCCATTCTCCTGCCGATTGCTCTGGTTCTTCCTAGCTGCAGCGGAGCGTGTCATGGACAAGGGAGCCCGAAACCCAGGTCCGAGTCAGCTTGGCGGGATGAAGCCAAGGACTGGGACCAGGAAAAAGGCGAAAACGGACTAAAATTGAATATGGTGGGGGAAGGAAATGGTGCAGATTGGTTCGTATTGTAATGAAGATGAGAAAGAGAAAGGAAGTAAATGTATAAGGAAAGTGAGAAAAGAGAGAAGGACAAGAGACGACGCTCTACGTGGAAGCGTGAAGGGGAAAAAGTGCCTAGGTGGAATTGTATGAGGTTCGAAAGAAACAGAATTGGTATTGGTATTGTCATTTGCCGTCGATCCCTGGTGCCTTTTGGGTAGGCGGTACCTGACTTCAATACCATCCGCCACTATTTCACTTTGGTACTGTGTACTTGGCAGATTGCAAATTCAGAAGCTCTGTAATATCTTCTTTGTCGATCTGGAGGTTTCTGCATGGAAAATCCCATTCAACACAACCCACATGCACTGCCAAGCTTTTCTTGCTCTGAACGTATCTTACGATACCTTCAGGGCTTATTGACAGGTCACGCCCCCTAGGAGCTACAACGGCTGCAGTTGCCAAGTCATGCAACGCGGATACCTACACGTCGGCCAATCCTAAACATATTTCTCTAGACAATTTTACGTTACGGAGTGGTCTCGGTTGCGTCGGCATTATAACTTTCCCCGAAATGCGGATGACTAGCGCTGATAAGCTGAAGACTACGGAATACAACCTACGATGTACAGATCAACTTGGAAGCCTGTTCATATCCCCGGTCCCTATTTGCTATATTATACTAAACTGACTAACTGGGTTGTCGATCGACGTTTTTTTTGACCCGTCTGCTGCGGGGTCATTCTTGCGTCAAACTTGTGATGAGTGGTCATGAATCTCAGATCAGATCATGGTGTGGTTATTACTCGTTAGGAGATTTGCAGATATATGCACCTGCAGGCATGAACACGCAAGCCCAAGCATGGAGCGTCATGGGGAGTAAGTATGGGGAACTGAAGCTTGTGTTTATCAAATGTGTGTATCAACGGGGTTGCCCACATTCTTGCTGGGATCATCACATGCTCGGCTATCTCGTGCATCTTCCTGAAAGGCTCCGCACATATCCACATATTTTCATTAAGGGTCTATAGATCTTCAGGGTGATATTTGAGGATATATCTAGACTAATCTAAATAACTATTTACACTGTAAAGAGGATATAGGTAGAAGATAGTACTCCGTACTCCCTACAGCCTTGCCAATTGCGATATACGATACCGAGGCTTGGCAAGGTTTCGCAGATCAGCCACAAACTTAGTAAAGATCGGCCCGACGGCCGGGCTTGCTTAGGTTCCTTGGTTATTCTTATGCGGTGAGTATTCTTTCTAGCATCTATATATAGCACCTCGATTACTTTCTTTAGCATTTGGGTACTTCCAGATTTCTAGATTTTCAGTCCCGAGTCCAGAAAATAGAGTATGTACACAGTGGCTCTAGAAAATTTGCCAACACTTCCACTTTTAGCGTGTCGGCTAGTCCCTTTTAGGACCGGATTTTGCTTGGGTCCGATAAACTTTGCCCTTCAGGGTCGATCGTTTCAATTCTTAGTCTCTTTTTAGGTGTTTCTGAAATTATTTTTTTTTTGAAAAAAAGGGTTTAACATTGTTGTGCAAGTTAAGTCAATACTATATAACCGCTTGCTCAGATGTTATCCCAAACCCCAAACCGAGACATGGAATTTCGTAGAGGTCAGACAAGATGAAGCAATTTCTGCTTGACCGTTCTTTCGCCGAATAAAAGCCGCATATTCACCACCTGTGCAACTAAAGGCAGATTTATTTGGTTGACTCACTATTTATCTCATTATTTTATTAAATTGTCATAAATTGTCTCTTGAGTTGTCTTCATATATGTCTAGTAGCAAACGTCAGTCTCGATATCCACTATTAGTTTTGTTCAATCTTCTCCCATCTATAAGACACAGAGAGAAATCAATGCAAGGCGGACAATTCCTGAAGCCTCTCGCGAATTTCTCGGTTATAATCTGTGCTCAGAGACATTGGCTTCATTGCTCCATCACTCAACATCTGCAAACCATTCATGCTGTAACGCCTGGTGTGCTGTGATTCGTCCGATGGGATCTAGGCAGGTCAACCCCCGAATGAGATCTTTGAACGCGGCATCGCAAACATCCGGCCACTCAGAGAATTTGATGTACGGGATGTTATCCTCATTTCTATCTTCCCAGAGCATCTGCAAGACCTCGGCGCCAATCTGATCATTAGAAATATGCCTCAATAGGCCATCAATGCCTGCTTGATCACCAAAATACGAAAACTTGACGTTGGAGGCGGATAAAAGCAGGCAATGCACCCCATCTTTGTCGGGTCCAAATATCACACAACCGAGAATCGCATGGATGCACTGTTGAGGATTATCTGTTTAGAGAACTGAATTGTGTCTTCTAAGGAGCGACAGTACCTACCACAACACCAAATGAGAAAAGGTCTGTGAGTTTGTTAAGTTCGCCTTTGAAGTGTGCCTCTGGACTGCGCCAGTTATCATTGCCGGGTAGCATACCCTTGATACACCTACCTCTGGGGAGATATGCAGCGTTCTCTAGATCGGTGACTTGGACTCTTTTGATCTGAACATCCTCTGCGGTAGTGGTATGACAATCAACCATGATATTATCAGATTTTATATCTGTTTGGACTTAGAATGTACACTGGGATTGATGCGGAAGCGGGTTGAACTTACCAAGGTGTACAATTTGTTGGTCATGCAATTCTACAATGCCTCGCAGACTGGCTTTAAGTATCTTTTTTCACGAGGCTCAATAAATCATCTGTAAAGTGTTTGTACACGAATATGTGCTGCTCTGGTACAGTGTCGCAAGGTTGCCGTAAGTATGGACTATCTTTAAGCCGGTGTCGTATGTTCTCATTGAAGCCAGTGAAGATGTTTTTGGGAATATCTTTTAGGATAAATTTATCTCGTCCAGATCTAAAGAGATGTCAGGCTGTATCCAAATTGGGGTGTGGAGGAGATTACAGACGTTGCCAGCCAGACATGACCTATGTGGTCTTTCTTGAAGCAGTTCATTGAATTTGTAGCGGTGTCCAGAAGCTCCAATAATTTCACCGGGTGTTGAAGCCATTCTGACAATCGTGCAGCGGAACATGGTACCTTGTGTTCTCAAAGTGTCTAAAACAATTGCCCAGAAGATATGTTCCATATGTGTACGGAGTACATACAAAGTAGTAAGTACGAAGGAAACCGAGGTGGAGCCCTGGAGCTCCACCCCTGGACCCTTGGAGGGCCGAGTGGGTTGATTACTAAGAAGACTGGCAGGTCCCCGGGCCCAGGCCACCCTCCAGGGCTACCTCCAGGAACAATCAGGTCAATTCTTACAACCTACTACTCAGGTCACATTTACGCACATATCAATTTCCATTCTGAAGGGCCCAGGGGCCAAAACAGAAAATGTCACAATTCAAGTCCACGTTCCTCTCACGAGAGCCCCTAGTAGGTGTTCCTGGCCTAACTATACTCTCGGCTACTTATGGCAACCCACTTAGACTTCTCAAGACGCCAAGTGGAAAAGACTAGTCAAGACAAATTACACCGATCCCAACGGAGTCAAGAGAGACTGGGAGTCCGCTGAGCGCCAGGTACGAATTTTGATATATAAATCCAACTGTAACGACCTAATCAAATAGTAGACAAGACCGACAGACTCCATTGTCGATGGAGTCAACATTGTCGCTATTCTAAACAAGCCGAATGGCTCCGAGATCCTTTTAGAGAAGCAATACCGCCCTCCAATCGACCAAGTCGTCATAGAACTTCCGGCAGGATTAATCGACGCAGGAGAGACAATCGAGCAAACTGCAGTACGAGAGCTGAAAGAAGAGACTGGATACATCGGTGTTGCAGATAATACTACTGGCATTATGTACAATGGTTGGTTGACGCTTTGTTCTCACTGTTGGATATTAGCTGACTTGAGATACCTATCCAGATCCCGGATTCTGCAATGCTAATTTCCACATGGTCTACGTTCAGGTTGACATGTCTCTTCTGGAAAATCAGAATCCAAAGCCTGAGCTCGAGGATAATGAGTTTATTGAGTGTTTCACGCTTCCGGTATCGGAACTTTCGGCTGAGCTGCAAAGGTTGGAAATTGAAGGGTATGCGATTGACGCTCGGGTGGGATCCATTGCGGAGGGGATTGAGATTGCGAAGAGGTTGAAGCTTTGAGTTGCTTGGCTAGTGGAGTTGAAAAGGTGACTTACTGTCTTGCTCCCATGTTATATATATCGTAGACTACACACCATATGTTAATATTTATTAGTGATATGAAGAGCTATAATGATATTTTCACCCAGGTGATGTTCATAGGCCTCTATAATAACAGGCAAGTTCACTGTTAGGGACTTAGGAAGCAACCGAGAGAGTAGTTTGATCATGAGTCAGGACTGTTGTTAATCAGGAGCAAGACCCGGCTAACTAACTATTTATCGATTAAGCGTTTTCTGGATCCCTATAGCTCCGGCATTGTACATAGACAATGTGACACTTTTAAGGATGCCTATATTGTACTGATTACACCTGGGTTAAGTCCAAAACAACATTTGATGTTGGTCACTACTGCTACTACTATTGATAACTTGACCATGTTCCCCTCCGAGATCCAATCAGTTAGGCATACTTGAGACTTATGTACAAAGCGCAGAGAAATGCAGCTGTCAATCAAGCATCCAAAAGGATGACAAGGAAACACAGTCATCCGCAGCCCCATATGACCCATCTTCAATGTTTCTGCCCCATTATAATCACTGTGGGGCAGACCCATTATCCTCCACAGCATCGGCCCGATCCCAGCTTTCAAGCTCAAGATTTCGGACTCGATTTTCGATCTCAGCAATATGCTGCCCCCAGTTCACCTTTTCCTGCTCCTGCTGCTTCCAGATCGCTTCAAACTGCTCCATGACAAACGGCGGGATATTGACGGTCTTGCGGTTCTTCTTGTAATCATAGATCACGATATCCTCGAAGCAACGAGCAGCAGGGCGTTGCCGGGCTTCAGACAAGATCATGACTTCGAGTCGGAATGCCGATTGGGATGAAAGATGTCCAGATGGGTCTGGGATCAGTTTGTGGTAGACGGAAATTTTGTCTGGAGATTCCATGGGCTGTGCGATAGTGAGTAAATAGGTCCACTTAGTTTCGGGTCTGGATACAGTACGAATTTGTAGTCCACCTTGATACTCTTCAGGATGAGTCCAATTCCCGTATTACCAACCATGTTTAACCATTCTTTCTTATTTGCGGGATCGATATGCTTGCCGATATTGCGCGTCCAGTTCACTCGAGCTGTTTCGGCGTATCGAACATAGGTAACGTTGTTGACGTGACCTTAGCGGACTAGTTAGCACTGTATAATCCATGAATTGGAGAGAAGCATGTTCAAAATAAAGAGAGGGAGCATACCCTATCATCCAGGTTAGCCCATGTCCAGAATCCAAGTTAGCCTATGCAGTAAGCGTAACAGGTAAGGGGGTAGGGGTGTTCTCACCATAATATCCTAATCCATCACAAGTAGACTTAGCATTAATGACTCTTATCCACAACGCAGACTAAGCAATATGACCCAAATGCATACCTGTTCTCCCCAGACCACATTATGGCGAAATAGACTACGCCGTTTCTTATCCGTAAGGAATCCCTCACTTCCAGCGATCATTTCCCGCCAATCATTGGCCAATTGCTGTAAAATCTTCCCCCCTTCGTCAACCTGAGGTGGCTTCATCCCAAACATCATGCACTTCCCAATCCTTCGCTTGGTCATTGTGAGCCATCGTGGATCGATCGGTTTTGATGCCGAAGTGGGGAGGCTTTGGTTATTAAGGGTTGCCGAAATTGTAGAGAAGAGACGACGTGTGCCATTTGAGTACAGAGAGATTGAGGCAGATAGCTGAACTCGAAAAGCCGATTGAGGAAGCATATTGCGTAGTTGTTGAGAGACAGTTTAGATTCTCCGATAGCGGATAACCGCCGATAACCGATAAAAACAGAAGCTTGGGCCCCCAGGGCCCAGCATCCGAGGTGAAATCGGCTAGAACCCCGCGTAAATATAGGGGTTTGAACCTGGCCGATGTTGTGACTATGTTATATGTTTTTTTTTGTAACTTGTTTTTAGTGAATAATGTAGACAGAAACAAAATAACCAAATTCACCCAAAGTAGGTAGTACACAGTGTATAGAAAATCCACATGTCATGGGGGAGTAAATCCACTAGGCACGTCACCGATAACATCCGAAGCCTGGAAGCTTCTCAGCCGCCTACCTTCACTGCACCGCATCCCAACCACCAAATATTTACCAGAACAATCCTTGTTCTTGGATGGAGCAGCAATGGTAAACTCTGAGCTGCGCCGGCAGGTCATTAACGTCTACAAAGGTATGAAGCCGCGCGCGTGACGCAACGACTTGCACGCGTTTTCCTTTCAGTCTCAAGCTGGTCATTTGCCCCATGCTAATGACCCGAGATGTAGAGCTTTTGTTCTTAGGACGGGAATATCCTCTGGGCTATCAGTATTTCCGGGATCGGCTTCACCGTGCGTTTGCAAGTCAGACTCAGATTACCGACGATGAGCAGATCCGCAAGGGAATAGCGAGGGCTGAGTTTGTGAAGAAAGGTGAGCGCTGTCTGGGATTCGTATCCATATATTCGGTTACAATTGCTAATTATTTAATGCAGAAGTGGAAGCGCTGTAAGACTGGTCCCTATATCCCTCCCGTTTCTCCCTACCCTGTATCGCATTGTCGCATTCGACTATCCTCATTACACTGCCTATACTGCTGGATTACAATCATTCGCAAGCACAGTGGAATCATTCATACATGTCGTTTTTCTATACATTGCACCCATAATGGGGTAGTGTCTGGCTAGATACACTGTGCATAGATTCACTCCTCATTATCATGGCATCATGCAAGAACTATTTTGACCCCTATCACAAGACATTTGGGTTGATGGAAACTGACAGGATAAAAACACCCAGGTACTATTTGAAGCGGTACCGAACGCTGAAAAAAAGATATGGAAGTGAGGCCTAAGATTCTCATGGCTCTCACCTCTTGTCCAGAAATGTCCAGATCATATGCATGTTAGAAACCCAGAAAGACAGAACATTGAAATAAAATTGGGGGTATCACCAATACAAAGTGCAGAATGGTCACTACTTGACTTTTGCCCACCGGAACTCCAAATTGACTCAAGGGGTTCATTTCTTTTGACCCCACCAGGCGCTCACTTCAAGGCACTCACCGCTGCCGAGTCCGCCTCTCTGGAGGAGGTCGGCTGTCATTGCAGCCCACCATCGGTCCCATTCGTCACGGCCCTTTCCGCTAGACTCCATCAATATCGGCTCCAGCCCTTCAATCATCTGGATTGTGGTGAGGAGAGCCGTGCGCCGGATGGAGATCTGCTCTGGAGTCAGGGCCTTTCGTGGACGGTTCTTGGAATCCTTGCCTTGACCGTCTCGCTCCCAGCGCAATTCACCGAGTGGGATTGCGACGCGGCGACTGTCGACATTTTCCAACAAGTCTACTTCGGAGTTAAAGGATAGACCGATGGTCGCGCACGGGAGTGCTGTCAACTTGAGACGGTCAAAGGACTTCTCCACCCAGGAGTTATAATCAACCACGAACTTATTCTGTGCTCGTGTGAATGGTGTGGCAGAGGAGAATGTATAAGTAGCCGTTGCGTCGGCGGTTTCCTGTTCTTTTGATGTGGTTTTGCGGGCAGGGGCAGGATTGGGCAGGAGCGAACGGAAGCTCCAATCCGAATCCCACACCTCCAGGATTCCCCCGGACTTCAGCACCCGCAGGGGCTCACTCAAGCCCGATGCAGATTGCGCCGGACTGGAAGGACACATGCCAGCATCTTTAATGAACACGAAATCAAAATAGTCGTCCGGGAAGGGTAAGCGGGGTTGGCGTAGGTCATGACGTTTGAATTGCCAGTCCATTCCCTGCTTTCGCATATCTGGTGCGATGGAGACAACATCTATGCCGGCAAAAGCCACATTGGGATTGCCTCTGCGGGTGAAGTATTCGTGGCACAGACCAGACCACAGACCGGACCCGCATGCGATCTCTAGGATGCGTTTTGGCGGCCGATTGGCTAAGTGGGGGTTGCAAAATGGGCCGCCGAGGACGCGCAGTAGCATCAACGTGCGTAGGCTTTGGCGGTGGATCTCGGGTAGGTCGCAGGGCAGAGGGTAGACGTTATCCGGGTCGCGAAAGTAGGTGCGGTCACCCTGGCGCATTAGAGGGTATGTTGAGTAGTCCGTGAGTGAACTCAGGGACGAGGAGGAGGTTGCGGCCATTGTCGAGCTCAAATTGGAGTGTAAGTCGGAGCCGGAGGCGGCGGCTGAGAACCCCATTGCCATTATTTCCATATCACTTTCCTCAAGTATCTCGATTGGTGTCCCCTACTCTAAAGATGGGTTGTGGGTTCGGTCGCATTCTCGGCGCACTGAATATTTCATGAACGAGGCATGCTTTTTCCAGGTTGGTTTTTTTTTTTTCAAGTGGAAGATAAGTCCGAGGAAATTAGGAATTAAAATAGAAAAATCGAAAATCGAGTCGAACAGGAAAGGTGACGGGGACCAAAGCGGGTTCGGAAATTATCCCTAGTGCAGCCGGGGCGCAAAAGCTGAAGAAATTTCTTGTTCAACGTCAAATAAAAGCTGAGATTGCAAGTTCTTTTAGTTTTGTGTAGAAGTAAATTATTCAAGAAGAAGAAATGGGGGAGGGGGGAAAGAAAAAAAAAGTAGGTCTAGTCCTGTTAATTGACCCCTGGAAGTTGAATATCCACTCGAGTCTAGTTTTAGTCTCTTCATGTACTTTACTTAGTGAGAAAATATCAAATTGTATTGTGACCAATAGCATTCTACTTTACTCTTGACCTATATGAATTCTTGGATTCTTATTTTTATATGATGTATAAGTAAAAACCGTTGACATCATGACTCTCTAGGCTATATCATCTGGCTCAATGGCCGGAAAGGGAAATTCTGGGCGATGTACCTCGGGACTATAAAACCCGAAATGTGTAGTTTATTTTCAAGTGAAGTCTAGAATCATATATCCATGTCAGCTTAGGAATACCCGAGGGCAATACCCCTTGCTCTAGTAGATTGATAAGATACAAACGGAGTAACAAACTGTATATGCCAACGGCTTCGGCAATATATTCAAACTGTCGGAGATCCCCTACCCGCTATATCCATAGCGTACCGAGTTATTGAAATAATTGGATCCCAGGTCTGGCCCCAACATTCTGAGACTTAGCCCATCTCTCTATCTGATACTCCGTGCCGGGTTACCCCGTGCCCTACGCTAAGTCCCAGGCACTTGTCCACGGTATCGGCTATTCCACGCGATCGCCTCTGCATTGTGCTCCGTGCTCTTTCCGCTCTCGGCAATGAATATTTACTTAAACGTACCTACAAACCGAGACACGAGAGTTGACCGCCTGCCTCGTACTTTTTATTGGAAATAGTTTAACTTTTCAAGACACGAGGCGACGAGGCAAATATGATCAGTAAGAAGATGTGGAAAATTCGGTGTGTTGGCAGAACATTGAGGTATCCCTTTTTGTGAATATGGTATATAGGTCTGTGCTACCTTGCAGGAGCTATACATGGAATATTATACATCTGAATGATATCTTTATATCCATTACGGAGGGCTTAAATAGAACCGGCCCAAGCGTCATTTCACTAAAATTATCTTAAACACCCTCTATCTGGACATCATTTAATAGTTCTTTTACCCCGTATAGATACCATATTAGGATGTTTCAAGGTATTCACAATGATCATCATAGTAATAGAAGCTATCTGATTTGGATGGGATACTCTGTCCTTAATCATACGATTGTGGGATTTGTGGAATTGAGCAACGATCAGTCCATTAGTGGCTTTTCTGTCTCAAGCAGTTCACGACCAAGGGAAGCTCGCTGGCCAGAACTAATATGACACACAAGATTCTCCTGATTCTCCCCTACTCCGTACAAAGGACGAGATTGAAAGACCAGACTCAATTCTAGAAGTGTTAGATATTATTAGCGGGGGCTTAGACTGGACAGGTCATTGTCTATTCTTTCAATCTTCAAGCCTAGGTCTCTGTCCCCTTTTGCCTGATCCCTTGGTGATATATCTATATCCTAGACCCAGATTCATTTCATTGTATGTACCCCCGTAGTGTTAACGAGCTTCAAACAAGATGTTTAGGCAGAATCAAAATCCGACGCAGGTTCGACTTGCCAAAGACGGTTGCATATGTCCATGGTTTTGGCAGGGAATTTTGACCACGTGGCTGGTTTTTATATAAACAGTCTCATTGATCAAAAAGTAACACTAAAGTGTGAGATAGATGAATATAAAAAACACTCAACTTTCCCTCTAAAAAGTGTCACAACAGTTAAGGGACAATTGTGTCTTGGCAATTCAAGCTCAAAAGCTGGCAAAGACTTGGCCCTTGCGGCGATTCACGTGACCCCGTGACTCCCGCCTCGCTGCAAACCACCAGTGTCCATCTCAAGACGTCCTCATCGACCTAGAGGCAATCGTATGGTTTGCTCATCTTTGCTACGTCAATTTTGCCCCGCTGGTTTTCTTCAACTCTCCATCACTCAATCTGCTTTTACTTTTTCCAGTCACTCCTTCTTTTGACCCTTCCGCCCAATCTCCGCCCTTAGGTACCGCTCCATTGCACACCTAAAGATACTCTCAGTGCCAAAGTCACTGATCTTCAATCGTGGTTTGATACAGTTGTTTTGCCTTAGGCCTCTATGTGGAAGAAGAGAAGAGACCGTCTCCGATCCTCTCCTCTCCTCTCCTTGACCCAACTCAACTTAGCGCCGCCCACCAACCAACAGGTTTTCCACCAGGGAAACAAAACACGGTCTCGTCTGCCACGTTAAATGGCAGATGGTACCTACAGGTTCCAGCAGCCTGGGGCCGGGCAGTTCTACTTCCAAGCTCAAGCACAGCAGAACCCTCACCAGCGACACATCGTTCGAAACGGGACCAATTCTCCGACGGGTCGACTGAAATTCAACAACGACACCCCCTCTCCCTCTCGATCCCCTGCCCTAAACCAGGCTGCTGCTCTCAGCCCTTTTAACAACATGTACGGCCAAACTCACCAAGGTCAGCATGTCATGATGAATGGCGGTCAAGCCCACCAGCGGTTTGGCATGCCAATCCCGAAGTTCCAATCGCAAACCCACCACTCTCATCACACACAACAGCCGCATCATCACGCCCACCACACACAAGCGACCCACAACCTCACCCATCAACACAATTTCCCTAGCGGCGCACTGGCCACTACAACCTCCTCTCATTTCACTTCGACTCATTTGCAGAATGGAGTACCGACCGCAGACGATGATCTTGATGAATCAATGAACGAGCATTGGCAGCAGCAGCTCCAGCTTGCAGCAGAATCACGACAAGCCACTTCGCCCCACTACCATGCCCGTGTCATTGCGCAACAAACGAAAGGCATCCAGCTCATCTCCAACCAAACTGACACTGAAAGTGGGACGGATGGGCGCAATGGTGCATCTGCGGGGAAGCCAGCTAGCCGACAGGGTTGGAATGCGCTTGATTTCGGTGGCCAAGGATTGCGCGCTTTGACTACTTCGTTGTTCAACTATGGCTTCATTGAGAAGCTGTATCTCAATTCCAACAAGCTGAAGGTGTTGCCCCCGGCTATTGGCCAACTGCGGAAGTTGACCCATCTGGACCTATCGGGCAATGACCTGACGGAGCTACCAGAAGAGCTCGGTATGCTTTCAAATCTGAAGAAGCTCCTTCTCTTTGATAACAACATTCGCACCCTCCCTTACGAAATGGGGTACCTTTACCGTTTGGAAACCTTGGGCATTGAGGGCAATCCCCTGAACGAAGTCCTCAAATCTCAGATCATGAAGGATGGCACAAAGGCTCTCGTCAAGTACCTGAAAGAAGAGATGCCAGGTACGTTTCAATTGCTCCTTTCCAGTATATTCGCGCGAGATTGTTCGCTAACTTCATTAT